TTATGTATATCTTCAGGTTCTCATAGCTATTTGATAGTAGCCAGAACGTTGAAGTCCAACGTAGTCATGTATCTCGTAGACTTTAATCTTTCTAATACTTACTTTCTAATAATCTTCCTCTTAATTACCGGCAAAGGGTAAACCGGGAACTTAGTAATACTATTAAGTTTTCTGTAATCGATAGCAAACCTCCAAGCCCTTTTATCCGAAGGAGGGAAATCGTTCTTTTAGATCGTTCTTTTTCCTACATAGTACGACTGGACTCGCGTACTCACTATTTATGGGCGTTATTATCTGGTTCTGCAGCATTTTCCTTGAATGTGTTCCTCAATAATTTGTTCTTTCTGTTTGATCATACCGGTAGGGTTTAGTCCTACAGGGTTTATTCGGCAGTTAGTTTAGTTGTATATCATGCTTTACAATTTGACAGAGTTACCAGGCCGTTCTGAAAACAACTTTTGAAAAAGTACTCACCGCTTGCTGGATGGCTTGGCTTTCATGGACACTCAAATGGTACAAGTCTACCTGCGGTTGTTTCACTGGTTCCACCACCCTCCGATCCATTTCCAACATAATCGAATTCTCCTGAAAATTTAGCTTGGCTTTCTCGGCTTTTAAGAACTTCATGCCTAAGATGACTGGATTCTGTAAATTGTTCAACACAAAAATTAATACTTTAAGGCTCTCATCTTTTATCTGTATTTTTAATGATAATTTCCCGATACATTGACAGATTTTTCCTTGGGCCGCTATAATTTCTGTGTTTTTATTTTTAAATAGCCGTAATCTATTAAAATTTTTATTGAAAAATTTTATCACTCATAAAATTACCTTCTGCCCCTGTATCAATGAGGGCTTCCACTGGTACATCGCCAACCAGGACTTGTATAACTGGTAACTGTGAATTCTTTACCACGACCGTGTTTAGGTATCTTCTTGAGGGTTTTTTGCGAAACTTCCGGCGGTCTGGACTCTCGCTTTTACACAGGCCCCTCTAATCTAATCGTTTAAAGACTTTCTTTTCAACTTCAGTCTTTTGGGTATGCGGACAGTTTTTTTCGAATTTTTTCTTCGCGCCTTGACCTTCGAGCTTCGATGCGTTGGCTTGATAGCTCTTTCCCCTATAAGAGCGATTTGTTTTACCGGCCGGTTGATTTGAGAATTGTCGTCGGGAACCTTGAGAATACGATGCCCCTCTAGATTTTTTCGCTATTCGTCGGTTTTGGAACATGACCGCCAACTCGAAGAGTTCCTGCAAGGTGCTTGGATTTCGGATTTCCAATTAATCTTGGACAGCAGGTAGCAATCTTGGTAAAATTATTTCAATTATCTCCGTGTCGGGTTTCTTTCCATACAGCATGTCTGTCAGCTTAACTTTTCGCAGAATAAAATCCGTCAAATCTTCCATATTACGTTGATAAAAACCATACAGGTGACAGGTGACAGCAGGACAGGGCACCCGGACGGCTTTCTATGACTACTCGGGTATTACCCTGTCCCTGCAACCATCTAGAGACTTCACAGTTATAAAACGCTTAACAGATGTGTGCTCAATACATGCCACGTTACATCTACAGTATTATATGTGCACTGTCCATTACTGTGCTAATAGCCTTTAACGACACGTCGGCTCGTAGATAACTAAAAACAGTTACATTTCCATACTACGGATACACATACTATTGCTGTCCTAGCTACTTTAGTAAGCTTTGAGAATCGTTATGCCAATTATGTTTATTGCATGTGCCCTATTCCGGCCTGCAGAGGTCTATGCCCATTTTTTCTAGCTTGTCCATTATGCTTTTAAGCTTTTGCCGCGTGCCTCGATGTTTTACGAGAAGGCGTTTGAAAGGCAGAACATTGGTGTTTGGGAATTTGATGTGCCATTCTGCTGTTAAAGGGCACTCCGTCACATAATGGTCTGGTGAGCCCAAGTTGTCACAAACACACATATTAGTTGTTGCTAGACCCCTTTCTGCAAAGTATGTCGGAAAGGGGCCGTGGCCTGTTATATATCGCGTGAGATAGGGCGCTAAGATGAGCCGGTCCACCTCTACCTTGGGCAGGAGTTCATATGCTCTGCGGCCTTGCAGGATTTGGTCCCATTCATTCTGCCAGTTTCCAATGGCAGTCTCCTCTATTTGCCTCTTTAGGCATGACCGGGGCAAGGGCACCCTGAATCTGCTTTTCCGTTCCTTCCTCATTTTGGGCAGCCTCCTTGGCAAGAGCCCCTGGATTTCCGGCGTGCGCCTTCACCCAGGAAATTTGGATTCTCAATTGACTTTCTTGGTAGACGGAGGACTTCTTGCAGGTGCGAGATTAGTGCGGAGCGCTGGAGAGGGTTGTTGATAGCATAAATGCTTGACAGGCTGTCCAGTAAATATCGTAGCTCGACTCTGTCGTTGTCAATTGCCCATTTCACTGCCTTTGTGAGGGCAACTGCTTCCGCTTGGGAACACTGAGTTTCTGTGGCGCCCAGACGGGCCCTTCCATTCCTTTGCTATGTTTCCATCTATATAGGCTATATAGGCACTGCCTACAGCGCGTTATCAATTTTTGACCCGTCTGTATAAAGCAAGCACGGCCCCTGGTCCGTCTAAGCGCGGGGTTTTAACGCTGTGAGTGGAAAGTCCTTATGCCCAGTCCATATTCCGACGGATGTGTGCTTAGTTTGGACCTGCATGTTTCGTAGACTTCTTTCAGATAGCATGTATCCCCATATGTGCATGGCTGTTGGAGTTGCGTCACCTTTGCAATTGAGGCTTCTTGCTGCACTTTGATTGGGAGCGACATAAGCCCTGCTAATACCGAAGCGGCCGCAGTCGACGTTGTCCTGTAGGTCTTCGTTATGGCCAGGACAAATGGTCGATGTGCACTACTTAGCAATTTTGCCTTTCTGGCTGTCATCGGGGCTGCCCAGATGGCTACTCCGTAGGTTAGGACCCTCTCCACGACAGTGGAGTAAAGTATCTTGTAAATATTGGGCCGAAGGCCCCAGTACGGGCCTTGCATTTTTTGCAGATTGTTTGCGATTCGGCGAGCCTTTTCTCTTTGCGCTTTAAAGTGAGGCAGCCAGGTGAACTTTTCATTCCAATATAATACCCAGGAGTTTTAGTTCTCTGACCCTTTTGATGGTCTTCCCATTAAGCTGGATGGTTGGGTTTCTTATTAAAGTTTGGCCTGGCTTATGATAAATTATATATTTCGATTTTGCCTCAGAAATTATTAGCTTTTTCTCCTGACATAGCCGTGAGAAAGTATCAATTACATCATTGCAGTTTTGTTGCAGTTAAATCTGGCGCCTTAATACAGTTCGGCTTCTAGCTTTGCTCGGTCTTTCCCTATGGGGAAGACCTTTAATAATGATATTCTAAAATTTTCAAAGGTATATGTTTGGCCTCCGAATTCTCCTAATAAAAATTTCCCAATACCCTTCCACCATAGTGAGGCCTGTCCTCTTAGTGCAGACGTGGCAATGGCAACTTTTTGTCTTTCAGAAACAGGGTATAACTGGAATTGATTTTCGAGGCCTTCTAAGAATATCGCTACCGAATTTTTTCCGTCGAAATTGACGTTTGGCTTGATAGATGCTCTCAACGTTTGGACCAGGTATCCAAACTTTCTAACTGGTTCGCCATTTCTTGCTGTTGGAGTTGTACAAGAGCTTCCATCCAGTTATCGACCATCTGAGTTCGTAAGATGTTCGGGCGCCAATGTAGTATTGTGTGGTCCCAACTTGTCAGCAACTGTGGTAGTGACTGCTATGAACTGTAAATTTACACAAACACGTAAGAAGGGTTTAAAGCCCTTTTTATTCCACTTTAGAAATAACAGCTGCGTTCACTTGAAGCTCACAACTTACGCCGACCCGGCGGTTTAACTAAAACAGAAATGTGAAACTATAAATTAATGACAGGATGAATAAACAACTAGATCACTACCTACGAGGCTCTGAAATCGTAACTAACATAACCGCGTTCTTAGCGAGCTTACTGGTTAAGCAGTTGAAAGATTCAGCGAACTTACTGGTTAAGCAGTTGAAAGATTCAGCGAACTTACTGGTTAAGCAGTTGAAAGATTCAGCGAACTGCCGAGATAGGCACACAGGCGGAAACGCGCGGTTCGTAAATTTCTACCTAGCAACCTTCACGTTCGCGATTCAAAAAGCACACTTACAAACTCGTTTCCCTTCTATTTAAATTCACTTACTTCTGCTAAAATTTGAATATACTGCGCACTCTACTACAATTTACATACTCTGGCATTGGCAATTTTAGGGCAAAGTAAAGGCTTGATAGGAAAGATAGCTTAAACTTAAAATAAATGTTAGTTAAAATAAATATAAACCCCTACAAAGTTTTCAGTTTAATTTTTAAAATTTTTTAAATTTTTTATTCCATAATGCCATAGAAGTAAGCCGTATTTATATTAAATAAAACTTCTTATAATTCATTAATTTTCTTATGCTCGCATACATATTTTATGCCATTAATTAACAATGTTCAAAATCATCAAACGTTTTACTCATTTTAGAGGTAAAAGCTTTCATTCCAGGCTCAGATTAACCATGAACTCTTTTTATTTTTGTTAAGAAAGAAAAAATACAAACTAAAAAAAAAAAAGAAGTTTCATGGAATTCTGCTTTCATTTATAAATTTTACTTAAAAACTTTCGATTTACTTATTTTTAACTGAACTAGCATACCAAAGTTGGCAATACCAGGAATGCTTCCAATCAAAGCTTTTCCAACAATAATAGTTATAAGCTCATCTCTGTTTCGGAATGGAAAATTAATTTTTAGCATACTCATATCTTTATGCATCGGGCATCACGTTACTAACTGTTGCCACACTGCATAGGAAATACTTTACACCGCATAATTGTTTATCACTAATGTTCACTAAATATATCATATCACGTTCGAGCATGCTGTAACTTACTACAAAAAGTTAACGCGAAAAGTTTAATTTAAAAACCAGTTTCGTTGGCTCTATAAAACTTAGCATAATATATCATGGCATTCGCCATTTTAAATATATGAAAGCAACAAAAAGAAATGGATGACGATTCAATATTAGACGTAAGATATTTTCACAGAACTAATGGTGGATTGAGATACGAAGTGTTTTTATCTACGGATCCGCCAAAGCCATTCAAAAGAAAAATCTTTACACATTCTCCCTTCAGACAGTCTCTAATGGAGCTTCAGGATAAGCAGGAGAAGGCTGAAAAAAGAAGGCAGTGTCTGACGAGAACTCGTATTCCAGCTGAACACTTGAATCGCATCGCTTCGGTAAGAGGCAGTAGAAAAAATAATGTAAAGGAGTTATTAAAATGTGTGCAAAGGTGCGATGATAAGATAAAAAATGCATTAAAAAGCAATGAACATTCTCAAAAGTCTTCACAGGTAAAGCAAATAATTTTTTAATTCCTCTTTTATCATTAAACGATAAATATTTCCCCATATAAGCATAGCTTAATTTTTGCTTCTTACTTGGTAGGGAGTCTCATATTAAACTGCAGTGCTATTGCATTAATATTTGAATGATTATATTTGGAAGGGGAGATGTCGATTTAAAGTGATTAACCAAATATTAAAAAACGGGAACGTTAATTATAACAGTTTAATATGTACATGCATATATGTGCACATAATCCATATATGCATGTATACATACAGTGGATGGACAAAAATATGGAAACACCTTGTGAAATGCATGTTTGAAAAGAAAGATTGATTTTAATGAAATATGTAGGTGCGCGCTGGGTTTTTTGACTACTGACGCCCACCTATACAACTTCGTAAATGTGCTAAACAGTTCAGTTTTGTTGTCGGAGTACTATTTTGTGAGGTTGTCATTATTGCATTATGTCAGAGTTAACAGACTTCGAACGTGGGCAAATTGTTGGAGCACGTATGGTAGGTGCTTCCGTAAGCAAGGTAGCCGAGGTTTTTAGTGTTTCAAGAGGTACTGTATCGAAGATTTATTTCCGCATATTTGAAAAGCGGAAAAACATCATCTGCTAAATCACAGCGCGGACGAAAGTGTGTCCTGAGTGATCGTGACGACGATCATTAAGGGCAATTGTGACGAAAAATAAGAAGACCACCAGCTGCAAAAGTTACTGCTGAAATGAATGTTGTGTTACCGAACCCTGTGAGTACTAAAACAATTAGAAGGGAGCTTCATAAACAGGGAATTGCTGGCCGTGCTGCAATTGAGAAGCCACTCATCAGTGATGCTAATGCCCGTAACAGGAAAAGGTGGTTGTTTAAGTCATAAAGCCTGGACTATAGAGCAGTGGAAGCGAGTAATATGGTCTGACGAGTCTTCTTTCACATTGTTTCCCACTTCTGGCCGAGTTTACGTCTGGAGAACGCCATCTCAAGCCTATAATACAGACTGCTTGTTGCCAAGAGTGAAACATGGCGGGGGTTCTGTTATGGTTTGGGCAGGCAAACCAGCTTGCAGTCTTTTCGGAATGGATAAATACAGTTCCTGTATGTTTGCCAAGGGAATATTTTACCATCTATCAGGTGGTTCTCTGCTAGCCCCATGATAACTGTGTCAGGGCACATGACTGCCAAGACGTATGTGAACATTTTGGCCGATCAAGTTCATCCCATGGTACAAACTATGTTCCGCGATGGTGATGGTGTCTTCCAAGACGACAAAGCCCCTGTTCACACAGCTCACATTGTCCAGGACTGGTTTTCTGAGCACGAGGATGAGTTGTCCCATCTCCCCTGGCCACCACAGTCACCAGACCTGAATATTATCGAACCTTTGTGGTCTACATTGGAACAGAAAGTGCGTTCTCGTTATCCACCGCTAACATCGTTATCTGAACTTGCCACCGTTTTGCAGGAAGAATGGTAAAATATTCCCTTGGCAAACATACAGGAACTGTATTTATCCATTCCGAGAAGACTGCAAGCTGGTTTGGATGCCAACGGGTTTCCTACACCATATTAAGCAAAGAAACATGTTTTTTTAAAGGTGTTTCCATATTTTTGTCCAACCCCTGTACATAGCAGATAAGTACCGAATTTAGTTACCGATGAGTACGGAAGCAAGCTAACAAACTAGCTATTTATCTCCATTTTTAAAGGTTTAGGTATTGTTATACTGGGGAAAAATACTCGTATGTTACAAGGTACCCCTTGGCGAATACTAAAAGAATTCCATAAATGAACCATAAAAGTAACCCATACCATAAATAAACCCCTCCATAAAAATACCATAAATGAACCATTTAAAAATAACATAAATGTTGCCATAAATGAAATAACACAGCATCTTGGCGATAATCCGAGGGAAACCTCAAAATATATATCCCACTCATAATGAAATTTCAAATTAAATCAGATTAGAAACTAAAATTTGTAAATTAACTGTTGAAAACTCCAGCCACCCAGACACTATAGTGGTTAGGGAAGCCGGCTGCGAGACCAAAGGGCCCGGGTTTGAATCCCGGAGAAGGTCTGGTTGTAACTGTCCGTCCCTTCGTAGGAGGCAAAAGTGGCCCACATATTAGGTGCCTCCAGAATAAAGTGACCACCACTTCTGGCCTTAGCGGCCAAGCCGAAGTCGGCTGAGGGCCCGCTATTAATAAAAAGTATAATATTTCGGCATCAAAGTTCAGGCAGGGTTTTTACAGAATGGTAAGGCTAATCCAAATGAAGAGGCAAGTTGATTTAGTTTTTAATGGTACATCTTTATTCCGTAGCTTTTATTCAATTATCACTGTAGATCATTTATTCGTTACTAAATAAGAGTATTTAAACGTTAATGCATCATAACTTATTCTAACAAAGAGAGCAAGCGCAGTAGCATAGACCCTAAAGGCACAGACGGGGAGGAAAGCTTCTGACGCAAAGTGGCGCGCATTCGTTATTTATAGTAGCGGTTAACAAATTCTAGAAGGTACTGGTTTTGATATCGGAACTTTTGATGTCAAAAATTAAAATTAATTTGTTTAATCAATTGAAAATTGTGTATTTATACATCTAAAATTGAATGGAAATTGAATTCTACATGAAAAATATTTACATACGGTTAAAGTTTTTTAATCTGGATGTACCTTCGAAAAGCAGCTGTTATAGCTGATGACCTTATAAGGCTTTTTTCACGCCTTCTTAGCGTGCCTTCGTGGTGTGGTAGTCTGCACGCTGGGGGCGTATTCCAGAGGTCCGCGGTTCGATTCCCGGTGAAAGCATTTTTCATCTATTCCTTCTTAAAAAAAAAAAAAAAAAAAAAAAAAAAAAAAAAAAACATGATATCCCTACAGTGGCGCCCGAATTAAAAGGGTAGTGGACGATGATTCTCCGCGAAGGTGTTGCTCATTTTGCATCTTTCATGCTTCCAAATAACCTAATGTCTCTACACCCTAACTAATTATTATATTTGATCTTTATTTTCTTTTCGAATTACTAGCAAATTTAATATACTCGTTTAACATAACAATCTGTATTGTCCGCAAAAATTAAATGGTCTCGATAAGCCTTTCTATAAGATCGTTGATTATCGCATACTGTTTTTTATTTCTTTTTATTATTTCTTTCTCTTGCTAAAACTGGGATTATTGATTGATGAACCACGGCAGCTTCTGAGTTTACATCAAAATAAAAAGTTTTCCAGTCTTGAAAGAAAAGATGCATCCAAATTGTGTGTAATTAAAGAAAGTAATGACGAATACTTGACACTAAATTATCGCATTGAATTCACATCCGTAGGGTACATTCAACGTAACCTGCAGTTTTACAGAATGACAGCCTTTTTCATATGAGGCATGCTTTCCAAAAATCTTGTTGGAAGATGACGGTTGCTAAATGTTTTTAAATTTTACTTAATCGAATTTAACATTGTTTACTCCCGTTTTCCTTCCATACACCGCTCCTTATAGTATATCGTGTACAGGACCTAATATACAGCACTTTTAATTCAATAGAAGCAATAACCTGAAATAAATTTCCATTTTCATTCCACTTATTGAATTGCACAATCTCTTCAATACCGTCTTTTCTTCAATCACTAGCAAATTGCGCAAGCGCATAATTTAAGTCTAACGTAAAGAATATCGCAGTTTATTTATAAAAATAGTTAGAATACAACGCATAGTATAAAAGAATACGTAACGCATATAAAATGGTGGCGTTGCTTGACTGAAGGACTGTTATATACATGGTTGACGTAAGAATGGTTGTCAAAGCTTAGGCCACTGTGAAAATTTTCGTCTTCTACTAAGTTGGTATTGATAACATCTAAGTTTAATCAAGTTAATATTTTACCAGTGCATATATCATATAATATGAGCAACACTATGGTAATTATTTGAACATATGTCTTTTTTTAAAGATCCTCTTCAGCAGACCACTTTCAGTATCGACAGCTATTTTTACTGATTTTGTAGTTTATTAAAAGTTTATTCTTTTGCAGCATATGACCAATAGATGGGTAATAGATGTTTTACGCCCACATACTGCGCCTGGTAAGCTGAGCACAGATGATATCAGATCGCTCGAAGAACACTTAAGGACTCAAGATCGTCTGCTAGAAGAACTCAACTTTCAAGCTGATAATCTAATCGAGGTAGTCAAAAACATAAAGCTTCACACTATTAATAATTCTGACTGACGTACGAATGTTGATTTATGGATGAGTTATAACGACTCAAATTCTTATGTAGGAGCAATTTATGTGATTATGTTATAATTTTACCTTTATATAAATAATAATTTCAATAAAGAATAAGTAATACGCATAATTTTCAAATCACACAGCATTTCAAGCATTTATATGTATCTGGGAAGTATCAATAAGAAATTAAATGGAAATAAATGTTTTATAGAGATAAGTAAGCAACTGAAAAAACAAACTCATAAGATTATTTATGGTCATTCATTTGTAAATACTAAAGTACCAATCGGAAATTTGCTTTGATTTGTGTTTCGATGATTTAAGTTGATTTTAATTTTATCTCATTTCTGTTTTCAGTGGAAAGTTATTACTAACAGTTTGATTAAGAAATAATTTTCAGATGTATATTGATATGTTTCAAATCTAAATTGTAATTTATGTAAAAATTCTGTAAGATTATCTTGAAACATATGCACTTGCAAATATTTAACCAACATTTGAAATTAGTTTTACACTAGTATTTAGAATAACTCAGTTAAATTTAACTTTGTATATCCTTTATATTCAAAAAGTTTCAATGAGCAATTTGATTTATAAATATTTTCAAGTATATCCCAATGTGTTTTTGAATCTGAATAAGAATTAATGTAAAAAAAAAAAAAAAAAAAAAAAAAAAAAAAAAAAAAAAAAGATTATTTTTTAACATATTGAATAATAAATATTCAGCCATCGTTCTGAAATTACTTTTTATTTATATTTCGAATATTTAAATTCTGTTTTGTTTCTAATTGAAAGTTATTATAAACTAATAAATTATTAAGTAACTTTCAAATGTATTCTAATAATTTCCAAATATGCCTTTGAAATAAAAAATAAATGAAATCAAATGTTTCTTAGATGTTGTTATTTCCCTTACAAGCAGATACTGATTAATCTGGACATAATTAATGCCAGTCAATAAAGCAAATCTTTAAAATAAATAAAACTACTGATTAATGTGGGCGTAATTTATGTCATCCAATAAAATATTTTATATGAATCTTTTATCGGGGGAGGGGAAAAAACTGGCAAAATATATTTTACCTAGAACTAAAGAAAACTTATTTCACCCAAAGAGTTTCTAAATTTATGTTGTTAAAATATAAAAAGCTTGACTTAGAAGCAATACCTTCAGGGCCATAATTTTTAGTCCAAAGGGGCTTTGTTCCTGAAGGATTATTGTTTTCGTTTCGCGATTTTGCGTTGAATCACTATAAATGCCCGTTTCACTCTTCAAACTGTTGCCACCAAATGTTATAGTCCTGCATTATACTTGAAGAAATTAACTAATGAAAAATCTGCATAAATGTATGTATATTTCTCGCATTGTGATAAAACAACGGTACATAGAGCCGTCGAATTTTGAAGGACGTAGTCCTACTGCGAATATGGGCATTTGGAAGCCTAAATTTGAAATTCGTAATTTATTTTATTATCGATTTCATATTTTGTAAAACTTTAACAAATTTTTGATTAACAAACTCAACGATTTCAGAGCGAGCCATGGCAACAATCTACAGAAGGGGGAAAACCTTTTTATCTCTAGCGAGCGGAACTGTGTATCGCAAATTCTAAAGAGAGGCTCATTTTAAAATTATTTTGCGACATTGCTATTGAATTGAAATTTATGGTTTAAGGGCGAAGAACATGATATTTAATAAATAAAGGTAACACAAAAAACATTTAAAAAAAAACGCCCCTTTGGACGTAATTTAAAACCTGAAACCTCTCAGATTTTTCTTTTTTTTTAATTTTATTATCTGATTTTTCACAATTCTTGTTGTACCTAAAAGTTGTATGTGCCCTCTGCGCCTTTTGACATAGTCTCTATATCTTTCCCTTGATTTGCTTCAACACGTGACTAGTCGGGCAAACCCATCGGAAAAGAATTTCAGTGGTTAATATCGACCCCAGGCTTGAATGGTTGTTTCGTGTTCGTCATTAGAACAAAAATAATATTTCTTAAGGTGGTCTTTCATCTTTAGAAAGCGATGAAAGTCAGAAGAGGGAAGATCGAAGCTGTACGGCAGATTCGAAAAGGATTTGAACTCTATTCTGCAACACAACTATGTTCGCCCGCACACGAGTCGCGAAACAAAAGAGGGTCGGTGCTTCTCCGACATTGCCACATGGCGTTGCGAGTTCACCTTTGTTCCTGTTAAATGAAACCCACCTCAAACAGAATGACAAATTTAAAATTCCGAACTACAACATCTATAGATCTGACCGTCTTCATAACCGTGGTGGCGGTACAGCTATTCTCATGAAAAAATACCTTAACAGTACCATCTTTCCTCTTCCCCTTATGAGCTTTGAAGCAAGTGCATGTATTTTGAACAGTGATAATAAAGAATATCTCATCATTGCTGCTGTTTATAAGCCACCCAACAATAGCCTCAACACTCAAGATCTTGACTATATTCTCAACTTAGGTTATCCAACTATTATTGCTGGGGACCTAAATTGTAAGCACGCTAACTGGAACTCCACGCGAAATAATCCAGACGGAATTATTATCATCAACAACCCTGATATCAACATTTATGGTCCAGATGAACCTACGGATCTTCATCAAATCTCAAATACTTCTGATGTATTAGACATCTTAATTACCTTCAATGTTCCTCAAATACCTTTTCTCCAAGTGGATAAAGAACTTTTTTCAGATCACCTACCAGTACGATTCACTTTATATGGCTTAAAGCATGGTCTTCCGCCTATAAAGTGCCGTATTAATTGGGAAAACTATGCTTATCACCTTGAAGAAAACATATCTGCTACCACTAAAATGACTAATAACAGCGAAATTCATGATGCCACAGCCTATCTTAGCAGTAAAATCAACGAAGCCCTCAACCACGCCAAATGTATTCCAAAACAGACTAATTATACGTCCCACACAATATTAGACAGAAAATTATAGAGAAAAATAGACTAAGAAAAATTTATCAACGTTCTCACTCCACCCAAGACAAAAGAAGATTTAATGCTGCCAATCGAAACCTCAGAAAACTTATCCAAGTGTACGGAAACAATTGCTGGGATAACTTCATTGAAAGTCTTTCGCACACCGACCATACTGTGTGGAAAGTTTCTAAAGCTCTCCGAAGCACTCCCTCCAATATTGGACCCATTCTAGATGATAATAACACCAAAATTTACGATCATAAGAAAATTGTCAACCTCTTCTCTGATAACTATGAACAACAGTTTAAATAATTTCCCACAATCGAATGATATCAGTATTATCAATCACGTGGCCGATTTCCTCTGTAAAGATCCTGAAAATCAAAACAACCCGACTTCTCCCAAAGAAATACAGAAAATTATAAAGAAACTTAATCCAAAGAAAGCATCTGGATATGACAATATCACTAATAAGGCCCTTTAATACCTCCCAAGGAAAGGCATCGTCCTTATTAGAAATATTTTTAACGCATGTTTAAGACTTAATACATTCCCAAAAAAATTGGAAACATGCTGTCATTAAAAAGGCTGGCAAAGCTGAAAATCTCACAAGTAACTTTAGACCGATCAGTCTTCTGCCTGCGATTGCCAAACTTTTCGAAAGGCTTATCGAGTCTCGACTCACCACTTTTATTAATGAAAATAACATCATCAAAGACCATCAATTCGGATTTCGCCAGGGATTCTCAACGACTCAGCAGATCGCCCGAATCGTGGAATTCATAGGTGAAAATTTTAATAAAAAGGAAGTAGTTGCTGCTATTTTTATGGACGTAGAGAAAGCCTTCGATAAAGTTTGGCATCACGGTCTTATCATCAAGCTGATGAACTATAATTTCCCACCTGCCATCATCCATCTAATTGCTGATTTTTTAAAGAACAGAACTTTTCAAGTTAAGATTCAAGATAACTATTCCACCACAAGAAAAACTCACGCGGGTTCACCGCAGGGGTCGGTAATTTCCCCGCTTCTCTATAATTTATATATTAATGATCTTCCTAATATTGAAAATATTCTCACTGCATGCTATGCCGATGACATGGCACTTTTATGTCACTCACTTAATCCATATTATGCAAGAAATTACAGAATGCCATTAATTACCTTTCACCCTGGCTTAAAGGATGGAAAATTAAAATTAACCCGAAAAATCAAAAGTGATTTACTTAAAAAAAGGAAATATCTCTTAAGACTTAGAAAAAATTACGATGGACGTACAAACCGTGTCATGTGACCACAAAGTAAAATATCTAGGTGTTTATTTCGACCAGAAGTTAAATTTCAAATTTCATGTTAATTATATCAGAGACAAAGCACAACGTGCCTTAATGAGCATATATAATTTGATGTGCAAATATTCAAAGTAAAATATAAACGCTAAAAGAACACTCTATCTACAAGCAATCCGACCCATAATTCTATATACCACTTCGGCATGGACATATTGCCTATTGCCTTATTCGGACAAGATGTTTCAAACGGTGCCACAAATTTTCGATAGGATTGAGGTCAGGACTGTTTCCTGGCCATGACAGCAATTTAAGCTACTGCTACTGCACTTTCAAACAGAGAAAGGCTTCAAAGTGTTCAGAGTAAAACTCTCAGATTCCTGTCTAACTCTCCGTGGTTCTTTAAGAACACTGTCATCAATAATTCTCTAAATATTTTACCATTATATGCCGAATTACTAAAGATTATATTCAAATTCTACGAAAAATGTGATTCCTCCAGTCATGAAGTTATTAAAAACATAGGGGAGTACGACTATCTAAACGAACAGCCACATAAACGGCCCAGAACTATACATCATAATGTTAGATTGTAGTTCTTGTATATATTTGATTATTTTCAACTATTTAATCTAGATTTTGTTTCATCTTTATCATCATTTTCATCTTACTATGGACTTTGCCCGGTACCAAGACTGCTGACTTTATCATCATTAAATTCGTCTATCGCGTGACAGTCTACTTCCCTATGAGTATTAAGATATAGGTACTTTCGACTCAGACGAAAGCAGAAAAATTTCTGGGACTTGTATATATTATTTTCCATTTTTACTGTACAGTGGTGGACAAAATTGTGAACACTTTTGGAAATTTTTATGTTTTTGAAATTTGTATGCATATAGAAAACGTTACGTTTCACAAAATGCAAACTTGTATATATCATTTTAAAGAGAATTTATTACTGAATTCAATACAAAACACAAAATTCAATTATTTGCAATACAAGAAAAGTTAAACGATAAGAGTTATCGATATACATTAGATAGTGATGATTGCAGTGAGTTATCAGTACTTAGTAGGGTACCCTTTATTTTTGATTACAGCTTCACATCGAAGTTTCATTGAGATGACAAGAGTTTTAAGCTCTTCTTTCGTTATTACATGATGCCAGGAAACAATTATAGCCTCAATTAGTTCCCTTTTATTTGATGGGTGCCTTATTCGGACAAGATGTTTCAAACGGTGCCACAAATTTTCGATAGGATTGAGGTCAGGACTGTTTCCTGGCCATGACAGCAATTTAATGTT